TGTACACTTGGCGCGGGAGCCGGAAGATAAGGGACTTGGGGATATGCCTCGTTCAGCTGGTGTGTCACTTTTAAAGCCGACTTTAAAGCGATTAAATCGAGAGCTCTCTGACCCGGTCGTTCTTCTTGACCCATTAAAGATCGTAATTAAAATATACGGAATTTCAATTAAGCAATTGTATTTTGTTTCTGTTTCCCCGCGAATTTATCGCGGAATCGTAAAAACGAATGACTCTCTCTTTTCTGTATCTTTGAAAGATCGTGCTCGATTTTTGGAACGTGAAATTTAGGCGGGGATGAATTACGAGGGGAAAAAATTAAGTACGCGACACTCATCTTCTACTCCGAATTTAAAGACGAATATTTTTGAGGTGTAATTATCTCTATGAGCAAATTTTTGTTATATGTTGGAAATCGGATATTGGAAAGAAAGATTATATTTGCTATCGAAGAATCGTCTTACAATAAGAAAAATGTTTTGTACAACCATTATTTTGTTGATATGTGACTAACCGAAATTAACTTTCTTATTTTTTCATTAAAAAATTACTTGTCTAACAAATTTGTCGTTCTAAGCAAAATTTGGTTAAAACAATCAAATTTTAATCAGAACAACACAAATTCGATTTTTCTAATCCTTGATTAGAATAACATAATTTTTTAATGAAAAAGTAAGGAAGATTTGTTAGTCACATATCAACAAAATAATGTTACATACCAAGACATTTCTCTCAAAGTAACTATAAATTTTTTGTCCCAAAAAAAGAGCATAGATCGTTAATTTTTAGGTAGTTTTTCGTAGATATAAGAAAAATAATATCGATGAAAAGGCTGAGTTAATTTTTAACTTCGATGTATCGCTTACAAAAGTTCTCCACTTTCCAAGATTCGACGTAGAAGCGAAAAAACTTTTTTTCGTATGTGCATATTTATTTGTACAAATCACCTGGATTGCTTTTCTATTCCAAGTTTAAATCGGACTTGCTACATATCTTTTCAAAAGAGATGCAAAGCGAATTAAACAAGAATAAGCTGCGCACTCCTTATAAAAAAAAAAAATGGAAAAATAAAAGAATAAAAAAGGATTGAAAAAAAAAACGCGAGTTTTTGCACTTCCTCCATTTCCCCTCTGTTTTTATCATCATTAGTGCTTCATTACGATCTGATTTGCATCGTTCGTCGCTACCAGGGTATTGGATGCGCGAATAATCTTCGCGAAGGTATGTTTTTATGGTCCAGCTTGACGAGACGGTCCCATTCATCCCACTGGTGGAGGCTCAACATGAAGCTGCGGGGATTCCTTCCCCCCTCACACTTTTGCCTTCCTCATCTTACACTCACCATGGCGTGCGATGAGTGCATACATACATATGCCGCGTTTAGTAGGTCACACCGACGCGTACTGGTGTTTGCGAGAGAACATCGTGGCAGCGCGTACCAGCGCGCGCGAGGCATTATCGTACTCCTGGCTGTGGGTCCGGCCACCTTGGTAGTACCTTGATCTTGATCTTGACTCTGGACAAGGCCCGCCTCGCAGACAGACGCCGCCGGGAGAACGCGGACGGTCGCGTCTCTTGTTTTCGCGTAAATTTTCGCGGCCGCGGCTCGAGAAATCGTGCGTGGATTTATCTCTTTTTCTCTCTTTTTAATATAGCTTCGGTCTCCGGATTTAATTAGAAGGCGCGCCTAATTTGTGTTGAAAGAATCTTAAAGGAGAGCGAAAGGAAAGTTGAAAGATTTTAATGATTTGATTAAATGGGTTGCGTTAAATAATAAATAATAATTAAAAAGCCGCAAAAACAGCTGGCTAGTCTCTTTAACGATAAATAAGGAGATTTAATTATTATTTTTTATAAGAATATGTGAGCGTAAAATATTTATAACCGCGCGCGAGTCGAATTAAAGTTATTAATATAATAACAAGTTCTAATTTTGTATATTTCTGTCTTCTGTCTTTCTTATTAAATATGTTATCTTCTTCAATTTGATTTTATAAAAAAATTAAATTCTATGACATCCTGTATGCTAATTTTGTTATGAAATCCTATAATATTAAATTGTTAATTATAGAAAAAATGTAATTAAGTAAATAATAAATAAATAATGCATAACTTTTATCTCAATTGATTTATACATTTTATGAGTCTGAAAGTGTCAGTGACCTAATTTAGTCCTCAGATTTTTCTGATAATTTTTTAATTATTTACTCGTGTAGAGAAATAACTGTGTAAATATAACTGTCGCCATCTCTTGCAATCGAATCATACCAGAAAATTTATGTATATGAAAAGAAGAGCTAAGTAACACGTAAAAAAAGTTCTATTATCATTATCTTTCTGCATATATATATTCGGATGTTGCTTATTATTTCATCTCAATCGTGGATTCTATAGAAAATCTAAAGCTGCTTTTTTCATGGTGAAAATTTAATTAGGTCACATTAACCATTGTTCAATTTTTAATCTACACCAAACATATTATTTAATATCGCATGGAACATTCTAAAAGAAATATAAAATTCATTTATATAAGTAAATTATTTTCTAATATATAAGTACGTGAGACAAATTCTACATTTTTAATTCTGTAACTGAATGTATGAAACAGAAATGAAAATTTTCCTTTAATTACAAGGCTTCAGTCTAAATAAATACAAAAAATAAATGTATATGAAATATATATAAAACATTAAATACGGGATATTTTTACATTCGTGTACATTTCATGTATATTTATTTTTTGTAGAAATAAAAATGTGTTTACATATATGTATATGTTTAAAAATAGATATAATATATATTTTATAAATATATATATATATTTTTTATGAATATATATATATGCACACATTTTTTATTCTGAAAAATAACATAAATAGTAGTGAAAAATCGATCAGGATAATTGACCGAACGTTTCTGATGGTCTGACCTTAATATTGCTTATAAGATGACCTTAAAAAATCACGATTTGCGTTTTCTTTCATCGACGCACGCTATCCGAAATTATTAGTCGATTCGTCCTGATCATGAACTGTCTCAGATGCAATTTTATACAAAATTCCGAGAGACAATTCCGAGGTTCATGGGTCAGGAAACGGGAAGATGCAGATTTAGAAAACTCCGATCTTTCGAGTTTTCCTTTACTTTATTGGTACCACCTCTCTCTTTCATACATAACGATCGTCGCGATACAGACTCCGGCCGCAATCTGGCACAAAAATGCATCTCGGGTTTCGCATCGGCGGCGAAATCCTCGATGGATATGATCGATTCGGAATATTTATCTTGTTGCCTAATCGATGACATGAGCTATATTATATGCGAATCGTTACCGATAACATATACTATTATTGAAGATCGGTTTGCGAAGGAATGTTTTGATTTCTGTCAATGTATAGGCCGAAAATAATGTATGTACATATTATTGTCGCGCGAAGTACATTTAACTACGCACTAAATTGTTTCTTTTCATGATAATTAATTGATAGAAAAAAAAGGAAAGGCAACATTTATTCTTGATTTAACAAATTATCGCGGCTCTTGATAATAGAGCATGGATGAATGATGGATACGTCGCGTATTTAAATAAAGTTGTATTAAAGCGATGAACCTGGATAATAATCGGACAAACGTATTATTGAATGTCCTGAATAGCGATGGATACGTATGGATTCGCATCTTAGAATAATCTTCGATCGTTCTCAGGATAGTTTGGAAATGTTGGAATGTTGCATAAAGTGTTGGATAAAAGAACGCAATAAAAACCACAATCATATTCTACAATGTCTATTCATTTGCGTTCTTACTCGTAATAATAATATATTACGAGTAACAATGTATCGTCGATTTCCACTTCGCGAAAAATTATATTTACAAGCGTAGTCACTTAATCATTTACTTAATTAAACCGCTTCCGATTTACGACATCTCCTATTTCACAAAATCCAAACTTAACTTTGTAGTAATTCGAACAATATTAACATTATAACCAACAAGATCCAATAAATGTCCCTTTAATCTTCAAAATATAGACGATTTTCATATTCAAATATTGAATATGCAAGTCTAATATCTGAACATACGGAAGTCTAATATCAACGATACGAAAAGTCATATTGCTAAATTAGCCATTTATTTTTGGATATAAGATTATATTTCTACGAGGTGATTTTATTCCAATTCTATCCATTGCAAATATTTTTGATAAAGCCTCTATAGGCTTTCAAATAGGGTATTTTTAATTTCTGACTATATCTCTGCAATACATAGTAGATACGAATATCAAAGATAGCTTCAGGATTTTTACATCTGCCTTGTACATATATGTATATATAATACATATTATGTATGTATAATATGTGAGTATATTTTCCTTGTTAACCCCTATAGTTGCAACATGAGGAACTAGATAGCTTTGCGCGAAACAATAATGTTGGTTCCAATTATAGTTTATGTGGAAATTATTATTGTGTCAAATTCATTTTGTATCATATTTAATTTAGCTGACCGGCTTCTTAACCGATATTAGTATATTGTCTATTTTAGTATATTTTTCTGCGAGGTCACGATTCTCAGGCGTAAGAAACTAACCAACTAGAGAGGCTCAAGAAATCAACTACGTCTCTTAGAATATTGTGCTTAAATCGAATTTCGACACTAAGTGTATTTGTTCAACTCAATGATAGTATTTTGACGCATTTAAAGATTCAAACGGGACTTTTTAAAATCAAGCAAATCATTTGAATATCTTAATTGTTGCTTTGATATTATTCAAACAGATATTTTTAATATGATTTTGACGTAGAATTTTAATGCATTTGTCGTCGAATCCGTCTATTTTATATTATAAACATTACGAGAAAGGAAAACGACTTCTCCTAATAAATATTTGCAATAAAGTCCTATTTTCGTTTGCCAAAAACGAAATAATTGATGCAATTTAATAAATCTATTAGGCACACTTTAGCTCGGATATTAATTTTGCGCTCTTATTTATAGATTCGGTATTTTTACATAATTATGTTTTTGATGATTTGTGATGATTATTAATAATAGATAAATATTTATTCAGTTAATTGAATTTCCGTTCAATTTGTAATATGGAATCGGAAAAATATTCAACTTAGAAGGGATGTTTTAAACCATGACACCGCGTTGTGCCAATAACTGCTTCCTTTGGTGAAGACTTGGCGAATCCACGGTAATCTCATCATTCTTCACACTGTCAAATGACTTGGAGGTTTTAAAATTATTTAGTACGTTTAAGCAATTATTGCTTGCCATTTCGAAAGATTTGGAATTTCTTAGTGACGCGCTAGCTAACTTTTTAATAGTATCTGAGATAGGATATTTAAAATCTACTCTTTCCCTTTCCCTCTCCTTAATTCTTTGATTATCTTTGACCATCATTAAGGGATCTTTCTTCTCCGTTTTTCTTTCCTCTTGCTTATCTAACTTAGAATCCTCGTGTTTCGTCCTCTGATTCTCACTTTCGTCGGTTCTACACGTCGACTCCAATTTGTCTTCTCTTTTATTCGTAAATGACTCTAATCGCGGAAGTTCACTCTCTTCCTCTTCTTTCTTGTCGTCTTGACCTAGTAAAGACTTTGGTGGTGCTTCCACGTAACCGCTCTCATCGCTGTCGGCCTCCTCGTCGAGAGAATCCAGAGTTAGGAACGAAGTCTCCTCATTTTGCAAAAAATCGTGACCTATCCTACCAGGATACTTCTCGTTCGCTCGCCTTTCCCTCTTCTGCGGATCCTCAATCCTGTTCATCACCTCTCCCCTCGGCCGATAATCCACCACGTCGTCGAGATCCTCGACATCCTCGAAATCGAACATATTCGAAGCAGTGTCTTCCATTTCTTCTTCTTCTTCCTCCATCGATTCTTCTTCCTCGCTCAAAGGAAACCTCTTCATAGGATCCATAGGATTGAAACGGGGACTACCGGCGCATGTCATGAAATGTGGTGAACCTTCCGAATTTCTTCGTGGTCCTGATCTCCTGCCGACTCGGTCCTCCGTGAAGAGAACTCTTTTGATTGACCCTCGCTGATCTAGAAAATGTATTTTAAAGGTAAGCAACTTATCAAGAAGTGACATTATAACATTATAATGTCCGTGTGTCACGCACTAACTAGTATGACTTGCCAAGTAACTGCTCTTTCGACACATAGTGTTATGCAAAAATATATCGTATATACTCCTCTAAAAAAACTTTATAAAGATAGAGATATATTTCGAATAAAAAACTTCTCTCTAAATATCACAAAAGATAATATTAACTAAAATATTATCAAAAAGGATAAAAAATCAATTATACACGTTTATTAAATCTATTAATAATGTTAAGAAAATGCAACTCGCTATTTACTTATACAACAAAAAAACTTTAAAAAACTCGCTAATTAGAATAAATTAATGCAGTTTATTTATTTCTATTATACCATAAGGTGATACAAAAGTAGGCTTCATGTTACAATTTCATTATGTAACCATCTTTGCATAACGAAAAAATTGAGAAAAAAAAGATATTATCGTTTACGTCATCAAAAAACATGTAATTATACATTCAAAAGGATGTGTTTAAAAAAAGTTTATGGAAACTTTGCTTCAAGTTTCAGATTGATATGATCAATCGTGATAAGCAAACAATTATACTAACTCTGAGTAAGATGTTCCTCCGGGCCGGTGGCTCTTTCCTCGCTGGTCGCCGTGCTGGCGGTTTCACATCCACTGGAGATGCTACCGTTTTCGTCGGACTCGCGGTTGAGGGCTTCCAGTAGTCTGGCTATCCTCCAGCCGTCCTGGTCTTCCCAGCTACGTGCTACGTTCTCCAAGGAACGTAATTCCTCCAGCAGCCTCTTCTGCTCTATTTCTTCTGCTACCGTGTCCTCTTCAATCGCTGATAACTTAGGCGCGCTCTTTGACCTCTCCAAGGGCGGTCGATAGTTTTGACCACCGGTACTCAGAAGAAGTTTCCTACGCGGCAACGACGGATTGTCGTATAATGCGTTTGCCAGAGACAATCTGTAACGATTTACGTAAATTATGTTAATTAATTCAAATACTAATATACAAATAATATCACATTTTTACAAATTTCGTAATAAAAATTGATTCTCTTTTTGCAATGACTTAATACATTTATGTCCATTTCTATTATAGATTAACTTTAATATCCGTTTAATTTACTTTTTATCTTTTTCAACTTCAAAGAATTAGAATAATGTAAAGAGTAAATTAAATCAAGATTAAAATTAATTTATACCTATTAATGGAAGTACATTAGTAAGAAAAAGACTTTTGATATCGTTTTATCTGTAATTTTTCCTGGCAAAAAGATGAGTCCCTGAAAGATAATGCGATAAAGAAAGTAGCGAATTAGACGTATTAGCACGATTCTGACTAGAGTGCTCGAATATGGGTGCTTTCTATTTGGTGACACAAGCATCATTTCTATCTTTCTTAACATACAGACATAAGTAATAAAGATAAAACGATACTTATGTCGACTTGTGTCACCAAATGGAAAGTACCCTATAATGTTTGACCTGCGACTTGGAAACACTGACCCGAATGTACATCGTCGAGTAGCGATCGCTTCCCGTCCTGGATCGTGACTCGATCGCGCACATAACCATCTACAATTGTGACCAGAATCGTGACTGCCACATTGCATGCGCACGAGCACGCGTAACTTCGCGTGCCTCTCAAAGAACGAAGATGAGAGAAATTTCTCTTTTCTCCTGATTAAAACGGGAAGAGGCAAGCACCTGCATGGCCCACGTAACGACGATATAACGCATGAAGGACGATAAAAATGCGAAGAATGCGCGATTGGAATGCGCGAATGCGATGTCGGTTGCTGCCCGACATTGAAATGAGCCTAACGGAAACTCGAAGAATTCTACGATTGAGAAATTGTGCCGCGTACGATTAATCGTAGCCGGTTCAATTTTAATGAGCTACTAAAAACCAAACAAATATTATAATATCATACAGATATGCGTTTAGATAATTAAGTAACTAAAATCGATAAGACAAAAAGAGATTCAAATATTTTCTAGCATATTGGATAAACACCGTAATGCGAATGTATCATGTGTATCTTATTAATTCTCTTCTAATGCAATTTTAATATCTAACAAGATCTCACTAATCCCACCGCGTAATACTTTCTAAATCCCATTAATTGTTTGCCAATGTTAGATAATGCCCGTTAATAATTTCCGCTAATATCACGATCCCGCAAATTCCGTGACTTCCGTTTGTGTTTATTTATCATTACTGGAAAATAAGACGAAACTTGAAGATTTGCATTCTGAATTTGTTTGTAAATTTCTCGAGTTATAACTCTTAGCAAATCAATGAGAGCGCCATTGAAATAACACCGCTTCCCACAACTCGCTTAGGTCTCAGTTTACTTTTGTGGCATGATACCGCTGCTCTCACCTGGCGTTTTGCCTGGAGACCTTGTCCCGGCGGAATTCCATGAGCGCCTGTTGTAGCCTGGTATTCAAGATCGAGGCGAGTCTTCTTGCGGTAGATTCTTTGCTGCACAGGGCTGCGTGACACCTTAATTCGGGCCTCAGTCTGCGGCCTTCGTGTCGGTATACCCAAACAAAGAGGCGTGGATGAGTGGTTGGCGCTGTGCAGTAAGTCACACGGTGAGCCCAATACTCGGTGAGGCCGTGGTCTTTAGTGGTCGCGGTCAGACCACCGCTGGTCACCGTCAACCTCATGGAAACGTCGGGTCTATTGCTGCTTACGTAGTTCCGCCATAGAGTCGACACGGGTTTCTCGACGCAGCCTTCACCTGTCGAAAGCGTGAAAAATCAGTTTGAATTATTTTCAGAATTGCTAGAGCTGGAATTATTGTCGGGATACGTTTCTTGAAGTTTATTGTTGCCGATCCTTCGTGGAACGGTTTGTAATTTCAGAGGGAGCTTCAGAGACTGTTCAAAAGTAATGTTATGCTATGCCGATGTCTCCGCGCGGTGACTTTCTACGCTTCATTATGGACATTCACGCATAATCAGATGTTTAGAAATGTCGCTTCTCAGTCTCACGCGAGAAGACGAAAGGTATGCCGCGCGATTCAACGAAGTATGTCACTTTAGGGCAGATCTTGCATGCGCACGCGTACCTACGTATTATATCTATTACGACATCCCAGCTACGTTCGAGCACATAAAAAACATCGGCATGTGTATACGGAGAAAGATAGCTCCGTTCTATGTACTCCGAGGCGTATCCTGACTTTCGATACAGTTCGATTTGCCGCTACGCGCCGCTTTGAACCGCGTTACCAATTTAGAGATACAGGAAACGCAAGTACAGTTACTTAGAGCTCGAAAGCGAGCCGATCCGGTTGGCAAAATAGAGAAGCGACAAAGAGAGAGGGAGGAGGTAGAATGGTGCAGGTTGAGCGAGGAAAAGGGAGGGAGAGAGAGAGAAAGATGGCAACTTGAGACTACGTCTCAACTTGAGACGTAGTCTCACGTCATAATCTCTCCCGTTGCTATTTGCAAAAAACCGCAATTCTTAAAAAAACGCTTCGCTCATACCTGAAAGTGGTTTATTGCAAAAAAGAGTAGGTATTTGATGCAAATTTAAACAACAAGTTTGCATTCAAATGCATGAGGCAGTAATAAATTAAATTCTGGTACAAGTAGCTGAATGTTGTGGTGAAACAAGCTGATGTTTCTTCACGCTCGTGGTAGCTGATTCCATCGTGGCGATTTTTGCGGTTGTCATTCAGAGCTCTAAAGTTCTTTATAATTACAAATTGAGCTCACCTAATCCCACAGACCATGGAATGGATGAATTAATTTGATAAATGATTATGTATTTACCAATGTCACGGTTTGCTACGTCAATCGAGATCAATAGTTATAAAATAATTGCTGACGAAGTGACAACTTCTTTGGACGATAAAAAACTTCATGTATGTTAAGCAATATCTTAGATCAGTCATTATACATGCAAATAGCGCATACAATTTTGTAACGTCATTGTCATTGTATTTATATGCAAGATGGTTTGATAACAATGTTTCTGATAAGACACAAAAAACAAGAAGTTGCATAGAATGGTAAAAGTATCACTCAAGAAACTGGGAGATAGAAACTAACTGTATTTGGATCATTAGGAATTTGGTGGTCATATATTGTAAATATTCTACTTTAAATTGAAAAAATAAAATCATTGGAAACTTGCGATAAATTGAATCCTTTGCAATTAAAACTATTTCTCATAATGAATGAAAATTAAGTATTTTGTCCGCAGCTCATCTAATTAGTAGATCTGATATGAATTAAAATTTTTACTATTTACAATTAGAAGAATCTATGAAGGGCAAATTATAGTTTATCGATTATAGTTTATATTTGAATACTTGAAGAATTATGTGATAGAATATCGAGACCAACTCAACATGGGATCGTGAAGAGTACATATTTATTAAATATCAACTCTGTTAAAATGTAAATGCGTTAAAAAAGCAATTGATTATGTTTATAAAAAAATTAATAATGTAACACGGTTTACAAGCTTACACAGAAAAAAAGACTTCTTAAATCAACCATAATATACTCATATAAGCAAAAATATTGGAATCCTGCTTCAAAGATATTAGTCTTGATTTGATTAAACTTGTTTTGATGCAAACACACAACACAACAAGTATTACTTTACACTCAATTTAAGACTTACTCAATTAAAAATCTTACATAAAAATTCAAACAAATCAAGACTAAAATCTTTAAAACAAGATTACAATATTTTTGCTTATATGAGTATATTATGGTTGATTTAAGAATGGTCTTTTTTTTCTGTGTACAACTGTTATTATTAGGTAATAGATATGTAAGATTTGTGTCTTAATAAAGCTGTATTATGAGCTCTTAATACCTCTATGATCGTTGCCCGATCAAACAACTGCGAAATGTATGCAAGTGATAACTATATGATTGCAAGAGAAAGCAATCTATAAATCAAAGGCGCTAAGAAACGTCATCGTTACAAACACTCTCTTGATATCTCTGTAATCATAATATTTAATATTTCTAATCCAGCAATTACCAAATAATACAAATGAGCTATCATTGAAGACAGTGTTCTAGATCATGTTTAAATAGACGAGTGAGTTGAATCAACATTTCTCACGAGACTTAGTGTTAGATAAAGAAATGACGTGGAACTGAACACGTGCGTGTTTATTGAATCCCACGTAGACGAACGTTATTCAGAAGCAGATGATTAAATAAGAAGCATATCGATTTTAATTAATTGTCTTTAAAGCGACGACGTGACAAATCGAACGTCTACCCAGAATCAGGTGTATTCTTAGAATTCAATAGTCCGTTATATCAGGGAAGATCCGTTTCCAATTGCTATCTCTCATCGTGTGATTCTTGAAATATATTAACGGATCCAGAATTATCAAAGAAGGCCATTATGTCACAAGCAAAAAAGTGTTTACAGTTAAATATGAAAAGATAAAATATTACATTATTATTTAAATTATTACACTGAAAACAAATTATTTAAATGTATAATTCATGAAATATTTCATTTAAAAGTATATTAACATACAAGAAGAGAGAATAATATAATAGAATATTTTTTAAAGTAAAAGATATTTTTGCAATATTAAAATTGTGATTAATATTTCAGAAATATTAACAGTATAACATTTTGATATAAATTTAAAAAAAAAAGTTCCCATACTTCCCCGTGGATCCACCTGTGGCAAATCGTCCGTGATATCTACGTAAAAATTTTCAAAAAGATCTTGTTTTCTCACGAAAGGCGTAAATATTAAATCGTGAACGAGAATCATCGCGATTATATCGAATACCTCAGGGGAAAAATGCCGTGTCTCTATTTCCGAGTGCAAACTGCAACGTCGAGAGAAAGCACACCTCCGCTGATCGAGATCCGCGCCACAATCGAACTGTGACCGGCTGACTCGGTGAAAAAAAAGGCCATCGAAAATCACATGCAAATAAACCACGGACAACAATGGTCTCGCTGTCTGCGTAATTTGCGTATAGGAAGCCTTATATACACTCGTTGAATCAACATTTTATTCCGTGCGTGTCCGGAGAAAGCGCGCGGGGAGATTCGATAAAAGCGATCCTTCGTAGCAGGTGAAACGGCCATTGGCGTGCCGCAAAGTTCTTTTCCGTAACAACAATTTTTCAAACGAAAGGCTCGAGAGTAAAGGGGCAAACCAACAGAACGATCCCGTTCCTCAATTACACTCAATTACAAAAGCAGATTCGAATTTCAATTCCAACTCTCACCATGCGCAAAATATTTATTACATGTATATAGTTTATACATATATTAAATATATCATATGTACTCTCTAAAATATTTGGAGTGGAATCTAATTCTAAAAGAGTGACAAAGAATCAATGTTGGAAAAGAGTGGCAAAAATTATCAATTTTTAAGAGTGAAATTTTTAAGAGTTAGATTCTACTCCAAATATTTTAGAGAATACATCATATTATTAAATATTTATATACGTATCACTCCTGAACGTACAATAAAATTATACACACGGAAATAATTTTTTCGTAGAATTGATCCTGAAAATATGACAGTCGTGGGACAACATTGTATTTCGAAGAATTTTAATATAAATTAAAATTCTCTCTCATTCATGAATAAAACTACAATAAAGTATAAAATAAGTTTAATCAATTTTACCGAAGCGCATGGTAAAAATCTTGAAAATATTGGATTGTATCACATCTACCATATTTTCAAGGTGAATTTTAAAAGAAAATTCTCTCCGTGCAAAAAACACAAGTTTACAAAAAGCAACGCCCACTCAAATTTTCATGAAAAATCAAGGTCCCTATTCATCAAACGTCTTCCATCGAGTCTCTAAAAGATAATAGAGGGTTAAGCCGAGTTAGAAAATAAATCAGCAAGAATCGATTCCGAGACAGGAATATTCGCAGCCGTGGCGATCTATCGAGTCGTACGAATATTGCGAACGGAAAAACAGACGGGCTGGAACGACGCGGAACGGGAAGCAACGGTGAGAGAGGTGCCGTGCACCGTAATGTACGACCAGGTCGTCATTGCCACCAGACTGTGACACTTGGTTTTAACGTTCGATATTATTCAATTAGAGATAAATGCCGCGAGCGCTCGTTGATTTTCCCTTCGTTAACTGCCGCCATCGCGCGCATCGCGCTCGCCCGATCTTTTGCGCGCGAGGATTTCGAGAAAACGCGCGTGCACAGACCGCGGAACGCCGCGAAACTTTCCACCGAGAAAACGACGTTTGCGTCGCATGACGAGAGCGAATGTCGCGTGCATTGTACGCGGCGGTCGTACGATGAATAACGTTACATGAATGTAGAGTAAACGGTGCAGTAACGGGGCCGCTTTATTAAGCAAGGAGAGTCATTGTTGAGAAGGCTCGACATTCTTCTGCAAGAATCTCCGTGTGTCATTCACTTCGTTGTGGCTACGTTTGTGCATCAATCATAATTTACTTACACTTAATTATAAATCAACTCAAGAGCGACAGTGAATATTTCTAGTACAGCGAACATTATAAGTTGTAAACAGTTGTGAGTCTCAATGTACTTTGAAAAATCCAGACGAGATAAAAGTTGATGAATAAGATTCAAGTGTCTGACTTTGCTGTTTTGAAATGTATAATGGGAACACAAAAAATACTTATTACATTGGCCTACATTGGGCAAAAAGGAGATCGAGAAGCTTCCTCTCTTTAGTGATTTCAACTAAATGTGATGTAAAAGAAGAATATATTTGTGTCGGTACTAAAA